TGGGTTGAATTTTTGGGATGCCCCGTATATAGGGCTGGCTGCTATTCGGGGGAGGCATGCTTGCCGTGCTGCCGTCTCCTCGGCACGTTTTGCGGGCCTGGTCACCTCTGTTCACCGGTATACTTGTCTAGATACTTGTGCCCGTATTCTAGTAACCTATGAACCTGTGTTAGCAGATTGCTGGCTGATATTCGCGATGCATACCAATCGGGTTCTATCTCTGTCAGAACTCGAATCCTACTCATGGTCAGAACTTGCAGGGTGTGGTCAGAATTCAGGGTTCCTCACTGAGTTTTCTTGGTTTCTTCCATTTCATGGAATACAACCCAGCCTGAACGGGGCTTTCGCGTGAACAACACTGATGTCGGGTGTACATGCAGGGTCTACGAGTACCCAAAGGTCAGGTGGTGGTTCTGCCAGCAATTATGTAAGACGTACCACATTGCCACGAACAGAACGGTATGTCCCGTCGGCTACCCATTTTGCCCCATTCCTCCATAGCCCGCTCACTAAACACTTCCTCAACCTCTTCGCGTCCCCTTCACAGCTCTCCATAGGAATCCCAAATCTCTGCATGTACTTCTTCAGTTGAGCCCGTATAGATACTGCTCGAGAAAGGGCACGAAATGATAGCGAGTGTGAGCTACACCACTTTGACGACTTTCCGTACCGAACAAACGCATTATACGCTGAGTCTATCGTGAGAAATGTTCAGATCTTAGAAAAATATTCTCTCACCGTTCAACAAAGTCAAGTGATCCTGATAAATTGTTCAGCTACCCGTTTATCTCGTAGTTGACAAACTCACCCCCTCTTCCGCTGTAAACTTTCGTCTCTCCAATTCGGCCAGAGCACCAGCAGAACCATCTGGAATGATAAAAACATCCTGGTGATTTTGTGATTAGACCAAGTTGGACTCGTTCGATACCGGACACTGACTTGAACGGCTACCATAGCTGCAATGGTCAGGATTTCTTCCCCACAGTTGTGCTCTTTACTAGCCCAAAGCTGAATGAGACTGGGTTAGCTGTTTGACTTAGAAGCATAAATCCGGACACAAACCATTCTGGCAACCCCAATTTCTACGGGTACTTCCGCTACCTTTGACCCTATCTCTGTCAAACGGCCATCCTGCTGACTTATCATACCGGCGTTGACCAGTAATTCTAGGGCGCGTAGCACACTTTCAGAAGGGGGTGCGCTGACCCATTCGAATTTCATGAGATCGTCAATCCCTAACGATTTGAGCTGGAGAATTGGAGTCGCCAAGTCAACCCTGGTCAGCTCTGGCGACGTTGATTTAGGGAGTTGCTCCAGAGTAGAGACAGGGTATAATCGATAGCAGATACCAGGAGCCGTACGACCTGCTCGACCTGCCCGTTGGATCGCAGAAGATAATGATATGGGTTGTGTGGTAAGTGAGGATAGTGATGTCACTGGATTATATGTTCGAATCTAAAATACTTTATTAGAAAGTGTCTTTAGTTTTTGTAACGGCTATTAGATGGCTGTACCTTCACAAATCCAGAATCTACAACGAACCGAATCCCATCAATGGTTACACTAGCCTCAGCGATATTCGTTGAGATGACCACCTTGCGAGTATCTGGCTCTGTGGCCTGAAACACTTGAAGCTGATCTGCTGTTGAAAGGCCAGCGTGAAGGGGGACCACGCTCAAACGAGGAGCCTTTGGTGGAAGCCTGTAGACAGTTCAGTTTGGAACTTCTCCTGCTCATAATACTCACAACGGAAGTAGCTCCGAAAACTGGTATAGAGCCATTTCGATCTCTTCTCTTCCGGTAAGGAATACAAGCACATCGCCAGACCCTCGTGAACCTCCCTTTAGGTGTAGATCCCAAACAACTTTGACCGCTTCTCGAACATAATCTTCAGTTGGCTCCGAAAGGTACGCTATCTCCACCGGGTACATCCTTCCCGGTATATTGAGAACGGTGGCTTCGTAGGGTTGAGGCGGCGATGAACTAAAATAATCCAGGAAGGTGGATGCGTCTAGAGTCGCAGAGGATATTATTAAGCGTAAAGACGGTCGCTTGCGACGGATTCTTCACTTATACACAAAAAAATGAGCGTTCATATGGATTCAAGGGGAAAACCTCACTTTTTTAAGACGCCTAAGAGGAGATCTGTATAGAGGCTACGTTCATGGGCTTCATCAATCTACAAGATGATTAGCAAACTCTCAATTTTTGGATTCAACTTACCATGATTACACTGTATCGACTTAGGAGAGGGTCTATCATGGTTCTGTAACGGGTAAGTAATTAATAGAGCTGGTAGACCTCAAGGCTCACTCGCGAAATAGCATCCCGTCGGTCATGTACTTTATTCTGGTCCTCTCTTTATCGGATAAGTCCTCAAATCGAATCGTATATCCAACCTATAGGGGAAAGAAATAAGGCTCGACCCAACAAAAAGGCTTGTCTCTATCCTTACCTCATCACCAAGCAC